GCAACCTCTGCCTCCTGGGTTCAAGCAATTCTGCCTCAGCCTCCTGAGTAGCTTGGATTACAGGCATGCACTACCATGCCTGGCTGATCTGGTATTTTTAGTAGAGATGAGGTTTCACCATGTTGGTCAGGCTGGTCTTGAACTCCCAAGCTCAGGTGATCCGCCCGCCTCAGCCTCCCAGAGTGCTGGGATTATAGGTGTGAGCCACCACGTCCGGCCCGGTTTTACTTTTTAATGTGGGCTGGTGACAAGCAGAAGCATCTGCCTGTATCTGGACTCTCCTCCCAGGAGTTGGTTTGGCGCCAGGGCCCATGGTAAGCTTAGTCTTCTCTGTTTGCCATCTGTTCTCTGCAGGAGGCCTGCGGCTCACTGACTAGCTGGTTCCCAAGGTCACGCCTGTTGTGTGCACATAAGAGTGTTGTAGGTGCCTTTGCAGCGATTGCCGGCTGATGGGTGTCTGTCTTTGCCTTTTCTTCAGATTGGATGAGGCCTTGGCCCAGTACTTTGGGAATGGGACAGAGTTGGCCCAGCAAGAAGAGATCTACCCAGCCATGCCAGAGCCCATCAGGAAGTGCCCAGAGTGCAACAAGGACATGGTCCTCAAGACCAAGAAGAATGGCGGGTCAGTGCGTCGCCTTCTGCCCCCACCTCTGCTCCCTAGCACCTGCAGTGTCAGCCACAGCTCGAAAGGCCCTGCCATTTCACTCCATGGAATCTTTCAAGGCAGGCCTGTGGTTGCCAACCTGCAGGCAAGGTGTTGACCTAGAAGCATAGCAGGATGGGATCAGGCCTTTGAGGTGTAAAGCACTATGGCAATTCAGAGCAGGTGGACAACCGAGTGATAGTGGGGTTTTTTTGTCCCCTGTGGGTAGGACGTCGTATACCCAATGTGTAACACATGGAAGAGCATGAGCTTCAGATCTAGGTAGGTCTGGGTTCAAATGCCACTTCTGCCGCATATAAGCGGTGTGGCCTGAAGCAAGTTACTTACCTGCTCTGAGCCCCAATTTCTTTTGTAAAACAACGTCAGTACTCACAAGACTGTGTTAAGGGTGAGGATTTGGTGAAAACGGTCGGGACTATATATATAGCACATTGCCTGATGTGTTGTAGATACTCAGCAGATACTACTTTTCTTCTCTCCTAGTTTTAGTTCTGAATGAGGCCTGAAAATCTACTTTAAATATAGTAGATCCAAGTGGGCAATTTAGCCTCACATCAGGTTGTTCAAGCCAGTGACTGGCCACTGGACGAAGTTCACAGGGAAAGACGTGCTGGAGGGGTGGCGGCCATCATCAGGTGCCGTCCCTCACTGGCATGATGCAGGGTGGTGCTCTGTAAGCATTACCTCATCCCATTCTCATAACTACCCTGCAAGGCAGGGATTTTTATGCAGCTTAGAGGGCTGAGGTGCTTGCTTAGAGTCAAGCAGCCATGGTGGGCAGCAAAGGCAGAGTTTGAAACCAGGTTTACACCGCCTTTCTCCCTCCTGCCTGACCCACCTGGGGCTGCTGCAGTCCTTGCTGCTGAATAAGAAAGGAGGTTTCTTGACTCCTCACCTCTAGCCATCATTAACCTGGCTGGCCCAAGTGAAGAGAAGGCCACCCACACTCTCAGAAACACGAGGTCTAAGGGCCAGACCTGGAAGCAGGTGTCAGGGCTCACGTCACTCACAGACAGAAGCCAGTGCCACTCTAGGCTTAGCCCAATGACTGAATGGGCATATATTTCAGCACTTAATAAATGACGTTGATGGGTTTTCCTTACCATCGGTAGGTTATTGGATTAGTACTCATTGGAATATAAGGACAGAGAATAACTACTTTTGTTTTAGCTCTGAATTCTCCACTTCTCTGAATTGGAGAATTATTATTCTTTTGTTCTTCTGTTATTCTTTTGTAATGCTTCTCTGAGTTACTCCAGAAGGTCAGGAGATTATCTTGTGGGATTTGCCACTCCAGGGTTTATCTGATAATTTCCATTTCTGAGATTGTAAATTTCTTATTTAAATGATTGGAGTTCAGGGCTTTTTTTTCTTCATAGTGTACCCAGGCACACTCATGAGGAATTTGTAAATCACATGCATATTGGCTAGTCAAACCCTAATGTTTCATGACTGCAAGGTGTTGAAAAACATTGGCCAGGAGAGACAGGGATGGGATGGATTGGGTAGTGGGTGGGGTGTAGATGTTGCGGGTGAGGCTCTGTCACAAACAGATGGGTTTCCATTCCTGGCTCCCGTCTCCACATGCATGCGTGTCTCTGGGCAGGTTTCCAGCCCACATCAAGCCACCATTTACTCACATGCAAACTGAGGGGCTCCCTGACACTGCCCAGACTTGGCACGAGGGAGAAAGGCAAGAACGTGTGAGTGCACAGCACAGAGCCCCTGGTGTCACCTTGGTTGGTTGTCGGTTTTCTAAATAGAAAGCAGGGTCAGCAATAGCTGCTTTGTGCTTTTGGGATGTGAGAAGGCTCATTTTCCCCCAATCAATTCAATATGAGTGCTTGTGTATCCAGTTAAGTGTCATCCAGAAAAGCGAATGTTGTCCTCGGTCAGCTGAGAAAAGGCTGCCTCAGCTGATGGCCAACAGCTGAGAGCGTCCCCTGCACTCCTACCATCTGACATGGCACCTTGTCCCTAGGTTCTACCTCAGCTGCATGGGTTTCCCGGAGTGTCGCTCAGCCATGTGGCTTCCTGACTCGGTGCTGGAGGCCAGCAGGGACAGCAGCGTGTGTCCAGTTTGTCAGCCACATCCTGTGTACAGGTGAGCTGGGCGCTTGAGTCAGGCGCCTCCTCTGGAGTGTGTACACCACAGCGCCCATCTTTCCCTTGCTCCTGTCAGAACCCAGAGAGGAGTGTCGGGGATTCCACTCAGGCCCTGCAGGGGTGTAGCTGTGTTCTGCAGCAGCCAGGTAGGCAGGCCGGATCCGGTTCTGTTGTGTTCCACGCTGTCCCTGCTTTGGCAGGTATGACCCTGTTTGGAGTAGGCCATGGGCAAAGAACCATGAAGGCCTGTTTCCCTGCCCTCTCCATATAGATCATTGTTACACAAGGCTTAGGAAATTATTTGCATATTAAATACAACATCAAAGCTTAGGCTACATAGCAAGACCCCATCTCTAAAAAGAAAAAAATTTTTTTTTTTTTTTTTAAGACAGAGTCTCGCTGGGTTGCCCAGGCTGGAGTGCAGTGGTGCAATCTTGGCTCACTGCAACCTCTGCCTTCTGGGTTCAAGCAATTCTCCTGTCTCAGCGTCCTGAGTAGCTGGGATTACAGGCATGTACCACTATCCCTGGCTATTTTTTGTATTTTTAGTAGAGACAGGGTTTCACTGTGTTGGCCAGGCTGGTCTCGAACTCCTGGCCTCAAGTGATCCACTCACCTTGGCCTCCCAAAATGCTGGGATTATAGGTATAAGCCACTGTGCCTGGCCAAAAAATTTTTTAAATTAGCCAGATGTGGTGACATATGCCTATAGGCCCAGCTGCTCAGGAGGCTGAGGCAGTAGGATCGCTTGATCCCAGAGGTCTAGGCTGTGGTGAGCCATGATTTCACCACTGCTCTCCAACCTGGATGACAGAGCCAGACCTGTCTGTAGAAATAAATGAATAGCCTGGGCGCAGTTACTCAGGCCTGTAATCCCAGCACTTTGGGAGGCCAAGACGGGCAGATCACGAGGTCAGGAGATCGAGACCATCCTGGCTAATACGGTGAAACCCCGTCTCTACTAAAAATACAAAAAGCCAGGCGTGGTGGCAGGTGCCTGTAGTCTCAGCTACTCAGGAGGCTGAGGCAGGAGAATGGCACGGACCTGGTAGGCGGAGCTTACAGTGAGCCCAGATCACGCCACTGCACTCCAGCCTAGGTGACAGAGCGAGACTCTGTCTCCAAAAAAAAAGAAATAAATGAGTAAATAAATTACTTAAGTTCCTCTAGAAAGTGCACAGCCCTAGTACAAGACAGTAGTTCTCAAACCTCTTGGTCACCAGTCCCCTAACACTCTGAACGATCATTGAGGAGCCCAGAGAGCTTTTGTTATTGGCGGTTGATCAGTATGTACCATATGTGAAATTAAAGTGGAAACATCTTTTAAAATATTCAGTAATTTGGCCAGGCACAGTAGCTCACGCCTGTAATCCCAGCACTTTGGGAGGCTGAGGCTGGCGGATCACGAGGTCAAGAGATCAAGACCATCCTGGCCAGCATGGTGAAATCCCGTCTCTACTAAAAGTAGAAAAAATTAGCTGGGCGTGGTGGCGTGCGCCTGTAGTCCCAGCTACTTGGGAGGCTGAGGCAGGAGAATCGCTTGAACCCGGGAAGTGAGGATTACAGTGAGCCTAGATCACGCCACTGCACTCCAGCTTGGGCAACAGAGTGAGACTGTCTCAAAAAAAAAATAATTAATGATTTATTTCTAGTAAATGCATTGCATACTACCGTAAATACCATGTTTTTTAGGGTAATAAAATACTTATTTTCCAAAGCAAAATAACAATGACATGAATGACATTGTTTTACATTTTGCAATTTGTATGTCTGGCTTAATAGAAGAGAGCTAGATTCCCATATCTGCTTCTGCAGTCAGTCTGCTGAGTCATTGCATGTGCTGGCACCTCTGGGAGACTCCATTGTATACACATGGAAGAATAAGAGCAAAATAGACATAACCTCTTAGAATTTTTTTTGTTTGTTTTTTGTTTTTTTGAGACAGAGTCTTGCTGTGTCGCCAGGCTGGAGTGCAGTGGCGCAATCTCGGCTCACTGCAACCTCCGACTCCCAGGTTCCAGAGGTTCTCCTGCCTCAGCCTCCTGAGTAGCTGGGACTACAGGCACGTGCCACCACGCCCAGCTAATTACTGTATTTTTAGTAGAGATGGGGTTTCACCATATTGGTCAGGATGGTCTCAATCTCTTGACCTCGTGATCCACCTGCCTCGGCCTCCCAAAGTGCTGGGATTATAGGCATGAGCCACCATGCCCAGCCTTAGAATTATTATAAAAATTTTTGTGTGTGTGACAGAGTCTTCACTGTGTCACCCAGGCTGGAGTGTCGTGGCACAATTTCAGCTCACTGCAACCTCCACCGCCCGGGTTCAAGCGATTCTCCTGTCTCAGCCTCTCAAGTAGCTGGGACTACAGACACATGCCAGCATGCCCAGCTAATTTTTTTAGTATTTTTAGCCATGGTGGTCAGGCCGGTCTCGAACTCCTGACCTCAAATGATCCACCCGTCTCCGCCTCCCAAAGTGCTGGGATTACAGGCATGAGCCACCACACCCGGCCTATAAAATAGTTTTGCATTCTCCTTGAAAGGGCTCAGGCACCCTGGAACCACACTTGGAGAACTGCTGATATAGAGACATGGAACTTCTCAGAGGTGTTTTTATTTTAGTGAATTACTGGGATCTTAGATTTCATCTGCACTGCTTCCCACTGTCCACTCCTGTGATGACTGGCAAGGGCTTGTAGTGGGCTGACGGAGGGCCTCACAGGGGACTTGCGTGGGCTTCCTGATGCATAAGGAATGGCGGAGAGAGGCCTAGGGCTAAAGCAGCCCTCAGTGGACTAAGGAGAAGCTGGCACCTGGTTGTTAATGTTTTTTCCCATCTTCTGGCCTCACTAGGTTGAAGTTAAAGTTTAAGCGCGGTAGCCTTCCCCCGACCATGCCTCTGGAGTTTGTTTGCTGCATCGGTGGATGCGACGAGACCCTGAGGGAGATCCTGGACCTGAGATTTTCACGGGGCCCCCCCAGGGCTATCCAGCCGTCTGGTCACCTGCAGGCTAGCCAGTCTCTGAACAGGATGGACAATAGCCAGCACCCCCAGCCTGCTGACAGCAGACAGACTGGGCCCTCAAAGGCTCTGGCCCAGACCCTCCCACCACCCACGGCTGCTGGTGAAAGCAATTCTGTGACCTGCAACTGTGGCCAGGAGGCTGTGCTGCTTACTGTCCGTAAGGAGGGCCCCAACCAGGGCCGGCAATTCTTTAAGTGTAACGGGGGTAGCTGCAACTTCTTCCTGTGGGCAGACAGCCCCAATCAGGGAGGAGGAGGGCCTTCCGCCTCGGCATATAGACCCCTAGGCGGCTCCCTGGGACGCCCACCAGGCCCAGGGATCCACCTGGGTGGGTTTGGCAACCCTGGTGATGGCAGTGGTACTGGCACATCCTGCCTGTGCAGCCAGCCTGCCGTCACACGGACTGTGCAGAAGGATGGGCCCAACAAGGGGCGCCAGTTCCACACGTGTGCCAAGCCAAGAGAGCAGCAGTGTGGCTTCTTCCAGTGGGTCGATGAGAACACCGCTCCAGGTGAGGCAGGGAGGGGCATGGGAATCCCTGCCTTGGGTTTTCAGGTATCTACCTCAGAGAAGACTGGGGACAGCAGAAAGAAGGCAAGGCAGGATCATGGTGGGATTGGGAAGGGCACCTGGGCTGCCTTGCACCTCTGTTTCCTCACTTGATCACTTTCAGCAAGGTGATGATTGTACAGTCCTCATTCCAGATTAAAGGGTAGCTACCAGTAATGGTGTCATTTGCCCTATGCCTGGCACTATGCTAAGTATACTTCCTATGCATCTTCCATCCTCATCGGGTAAGCATTATGATCACAATTTTACTTATAAGTGAGAAAGGTGAGACCCAGACACATGAAGCGGGCGTTGCTCAGGGTCCCATAGCAACAGACACCAGAATGAGGACATAGGCCTTCCCAATGGCCTTGTGCCCTTGCAGCTGTCGTGACCCTTGGCAGACCATAAGCATCAGCCTCATTTGTTTCTTTTTTTTTTTTTTTTTGAGACTGAGTTTTGCTCTTGTTGCCCAGGCTGGAGTGCAATGGTGCGATCTTGGCTCACTGCAACTTCCACCTTCTGGGTTCAAGTGATTCTCCTGCCTCAGCCTCCCACATAGCTGGGATTACAGGCATGCACCACCACGCACAGCTAATTTTGTATTTTTAGTAGAGACATGGGTTTCACCATGTTGGTCAGGCTGGTCTCGAACTCCTGACCTCAGGTTATCTGCCTGCCTTGGCCTCCCAAAGTGCTGGGATTACAGGCGTGAGCCACCATGCCCGGCCCAGCCTCATTTCTTCAGATAAAGACATCAACCCCGATGATATTTAAGAACCTGCCCAGGGTAACACAGCTTGGGCCAATGTCCGGGAACTGGGTGTCATGAGAAGTGGCACCTAGACATTGCATCAAGTTGAGTGGCGTAGGTGGAGGCATTTTGAATGGTTCCTCCTGCTCCAGTGCACAGCAGAGCTTAATTAAGTAGCTGAGAATGACCCAAAGGCCTAGTGGGAGCTTTGGAGTTGGGCGAATCTGGTTCCAAAGCTCAGCAGTATAACCTTGAACAAATGACTTAGCCTCTCTGCCTCAAGTTTGCTCAACAAGATGGCCCCTGCCTACATTCATAGGGTTCCTGTTTTAGAAAGGAGTTTAGTCTCAGACTATGATTCTTATACATGTGTCACCAGCCCGGCATGCACAGAAAGAACCCAGAGGCTTGGTAAAAACTGTGGGACTTGGAACTGGCTACCAGTGCCAGTGGGGCCCAGAGATGGCCATTGCAGTGAGAAGCCCACATTTAAAGCGAGATGCAGTCTGGCCTCTTGTCTCCCCACTTGGAAGGACATGGTATCTGACCCCAAGACTGGCTGGCTGACTGTCCTGGGTAAATGGGCAGCTGGTCTGGAAAGGCCCATTGAGGGACAGGAAGGGATCCAGAGCTGGACTTCCCTGCATGAAGGTGGGTCGCAGGTTGCTGGTCACAGGCTGCTTGTCTTTCCCACCCCACCACACAGATCAGCTTGCTTGGGTTTCTGCCTCTGTAAAAAGCTCAGCACAAAGTGATGCCAGTGTCCACTCACCAAGTGAGTGTGGGATGATGTCTCCAGGAGCTTAGGATTCTTGAGGGAGAGGTGTCAGGTAACATAAGGCAGCAGGCATATCGCACCTCAACCTTACAGAGTTGGACACAGTGTGAAGGGAGGCTGGCTGGTGGAGTGTACGTGGCTGTGTAAAAGTTGATTCAGCCGGCCGGGTACGGTGGCTCACACCAGTAATCTAAGCACTTTGGGAGGCCGAGGCAGGCAGCTCATGAGGTCAGGAGATTGAGACCATCCTGGGTAACACGGTGAAACCCCGTCTCTACTAAAACTACAAAAAACTAGCCGGGCGAGGTGGCGGCGCCTGTAGTCCCAGCTACTCGGGAGGCTGAGGCAGGAGAATGGCGTAAACCCGGGAGGCGGAGCTTGCAGTGAGCTGAGATCCGGCCACTGCACTCCAGCCTGGGCAACAGAGCCAGACTCTGTCTCAAAAAAAAAAAAAAAAAATACAAAAAATTAGCCAGGCATGGTGGTGGGTCCCTGTAGCCCCAGCTACTCGGGAGGCTGAGGCAGGACAATGGCGTGAACCCAGGAGGCGGAGCTTACAATGAGCCAAGATTGCACCACTGCACTCTAGCCTGGGCAACAGAGCCAGACTCCGTCTCAAAAAAAAAAGTTGATTCATCCATATCATCTGCTGCTACATTTTTTTTTTTTTTTTTTTGAGACAGGGTCTCGCTCTGTTGCCCAGGCTGGAGTGCAGTGGTGTGATCACAGCTCACTGCAGCCTCCCAGGCTGAGGCATCCTCCCACCTCAGCCTCCCAAGTAGCTGTGACCACAGGCATGCACCATACCTGGCTAATTTTTACTTTTTTTATTTTTTATTTTTTTTTGAGACAGAGTCTCGCTCTGTCCCCCAGGCTGGAGTACAGTGGCCGGATCTCAGCTCACTGCAAGCTCCGCCTCCTGGGTTCATGCCATTCTCCTGCCTCAGCCTCCTGAGTAGCTGGGACTACAGGCGCCCGCCACCGTGCCCGGCTAGTGTTTTTTTTTTGTATTTTTTGGTAGAGACGGAGTTTCACCATGTTAGCCAGGATGGTCTCGATCTCCTGACCTCGTGATCCGCTCATCTACATTTTTTTAGTCAGGGTTTCGCCATGTTGCCCAGGCTGATCTTGAACTCCTGGGCTCAAGCAATCCTCCTGCCTCAGCTTCCTAAAGTGCTGGGATTACAGGCATGAGCCACTGTGTTCAGGACTTGCCACTTCTGCATGTCAGTTCTAACCTCAGTCCTCCCCTGACTTTCCCCACAGGGACTTCTGGAGCCCCATCCTGGACAGGAGACAGAGGAAGAATCCTGGGGTCGGAAGCCAGAAGCAAAAGGCCCCGGGCCAGTTCCTCAGACACGGGGTCCACAGCAAAGAAACCCCGGAAATGCAGCCTTTGCCACCAACCTGGACACACCCGTCCCTTTTGTCCTCAGAACAGATGAGCTCAGGGTAGGGTAGAGAGCGCCACTTTCTCAGACCTGTCTCCTTTGTGTTGGGAAATGAGTTAACCAGGACCAAGTGGCCATTTAGCATCCTGGAAACTTGGAGGACAGTGTTGGCCTTTGGAGTCGGGCCTTTTTGTGTTAAGGGGCACAAGGTCCAGACCACTGTGGAGCAGGCCAGCTCTTTTGGACAGTGGCCCTCTTCCCAAGCCTCAGAAGTGACCATAGCCACTGCTGAAAAGGCACGCAGCTGCTCCCTCGGACCCCCCAAGGGTGGTTGCTGTTAGCAGAGGATTGGTGCAGTCCTAGCTGAAGCCCACTGTGTGCCAAAGGAAGAAGCTCCCAGGACTGCTTCCTTCACCTCCAGAAAGCCCCAGGTGAGCCGGCAGCACTCATGGGGCAGGCCATGTCCAAGCTGCCCAGGACTTCTCTCATAGATGTCCTGAGAAGGACGGTGTAATACAAGGAAGTGGCTGTGGTAACACTGATCCTGCAGAAGAAGCTTCATTCCCTCTTTAGTTAAGCCAGGACACCCAGAATTCATTGCCTTAATAAAGAACCCAGGCTGGGTGCAGTGGCTCACGCCTGTAATCTCAGCGCTTTGGGAGGCTGAGGTGGGTGGATTGCCTGAGCTCAGGAGTTGGAGACCAGCCTGGGCAACACGGTGAAGCCCTGTCTCTCCTAAAATACAAAAAATCAGCCAGGCGTGGCGGTATGTGCCTGTAGACCCGGCTACTCAGGAGGCTGAGGCAGGAGAATTGCTTGAACCCAGGAGGCAGAGGTTACAGTTAGCCGATATTGTGTCACTGGACTCCAGCCTGGGTGACAGAGCGAGATGCAGTCTCAAAAAAAATTTAAAAATTAAAAAAAAATAAAAGAATCCAACCCCAACGGGGCGTGGAGGCTCACACCTAATCCAGCACTTAGGGAAGTCAAGGCTGGAGGCTTGCTTGAGGTCGGGAGTTGAAGACCAGACTGGGCAACATAGTTAGACCTTCTCTCTATTATTAAAGATATAGCCAAGCACAGTTGTACACGCCTTTAGTCCCAGCTGCTCAGGAGGCTGAAGTGGGAGGATCCTTTGAACCCAAGAGTTTGAGGCTGCAGCAAGCCATGATCACACCACTGCACTCCAGCCTGGGTGACAGAGCAAGACCCTGTCTCTCAGACTTTTTGTTTTAAATAAATAATCCAACCTTTTTTTACTCTGACCTGTGAGAGTGCAGAGGGTCTGGGGAACATTTGCAGAAGCAACAGGTATCAGCCAGTGCTGGAAGGAGCTCACCCTGGAAGGTCTCACCAGCCTCTGTCCCTCATGTTTGTCCCTCGTGTCCCATGTGGACAGCCCTTCCTCCCTTTCCACATGGTAAGCACTGCGCCCAATTTCTTCCTGCCCCACAGGTGGTCCCTCAGAGCAGAGAAGATGTCCAATGAAAGGTTCAGATTCAGATCACTAACTTTCCATCTTCCACTTTTTCCAGTGGTGGCCATGTTCCCCGTTTGCCTTCACAAAAACCTTGTGAATAATACAAGCCATATGGACTCTGATTTACAGTTTAGAAGATGAGCAGGGGTGGGTGTGAGTTGCCCAGTCACGTTGCTAGTTGTCGAAGAAACTAGAATTGTTCTCAGGTCTTGGGCTCCTGGCCCCATAGACCAGTGGCTCTGTGTCCTGGTGGAGTATTGGGGAGGATTTTTATAAATGCAGATTCCTGAGATTGTTCCTGGAGCATCTCTGAGTGGGTGTGGGTTGTGGCCCTGCATGTGTGGTTTTGCCTCTCCCAGCCCCGGGGAACCACCAACCACTTTTTGTCTCTATGGATTTACCTACTCTATATTTTGTTTAAATGGAATCATACCAGGCTGGGCACAGTGGCTCACGCCTGTAATCCTAGCACTTTGGGAGGCCAAAGCAGGCAGATCACCTGAGATCAGGAGTTCAAGACCAGCCTGACCAATATGATGAAACCCCATCTCTACTAAACATACAAAAATTAGCCAGGGCGTGGTGGTTCACGCCTGTAATCCCAGCTACTCAGGAGGCAGAGGTTGCAGTGAGCTGAGATTGGGCCATTGCACTCCAGCCTGGGCAATAAGAGTGAAACTCTGTCTCAAGAAAACAGAAAATGGAATCCTACCATACATGACCTCCTGTGTCTGGTTTCTTTGACTTGGCAGATGTTTGTCAGGCTCATCCACATTGTAGCATGTGTCGGTCCTCAATGATTATGACTGATAGTCCACTGTATGAATATACCACGAGTTTATCCATTTGTCAGTTTATGGACATTTGAGTTGTTTCCACCTTTTGGCTATTGTGAATAGCACTGTTGTTGCATTGGTGTGTGAGTGTCTGATGACCTGTTTTCAGTTATTTTGGGCATATGCCTAGGAATGGGGTTGTAGTTTCATACCATAACTCCACGTTTTAACTTTTTGAGGAACCTCTAAACTTTTCCACAGTGGATGCACCATTTTACACCCACCAGCAGCAAACCAAGGTTACTGCTTCTCCATATCCTTGTGAACACTTGTTCCTTTCCTTTTCTTGTATTATAGCCATCCTAGTGTATTGTCATCCTAGTGGGTATGAAGTGGCATCTCTTTGTGGTTTTGATTTGCATTTTCCTAGTCACTAATGACATTGATCATCTTTCCATAGGCTTACTTACTGGCCATTGGTATACATTCTTTGGAGAATGTCTATTTTAAAGTTCTTCACCTTTTTTTTTTTTTTTTTTTTTTGAGATGGAGTTTTGCTGTTGTGCCCAGGCTGGTGTGCAGTGGTATGATCTTGGCTCACTGCAACCTCCGCCTCCTGGATTCAAGCAATTCTCTTGCCTCAGCCTCCCAAGTAGCTGGAATTATAGGCATCCGCCTTCATACCCAGCTAATTTGTTTTGTATTTTTGGTAGAGACGGGGTTTTACCATGTTGGCCAGTCTGGTCTCAAACTCGTGACCTCAGGTGATCCACCAGCTTCGGCCTCCCAAAGTGCTGGGATTACAGGCATGAGCCACCACGCCCGATCTCGTCACCCATTTTTAAATTGGGTTGTCTGTCTTTGTTGTTGAGCTGTAGGAGTTCTTCATAGTTTCTGGATACCAGATGCCTTTGTGGTTTTTACATCTCTACAGGCAACTCCTGCGTGTCTCAAAACCAAACTGCAGGATTGGGCTGCACCATGGACTGGGCTAGGCATCTGAAATCAAACAGACCCAGGCTCAGCTCCTGCTTCCCGGCCTGCTCTGCCACCCCGGGTGTGCGCCCTCATCCCTGGAGCCCCAGTTGCCTCATCCATAATGGGGTGTTCTTGTTCACATTGAGGCTCTCTAGTGAAGGCTTACAGTCAGGCACGACTGCAAATTAAAGCTTCACAAATCAAACCTGTTGGAATTTCCAAGTCTCTCAGCCCACTCAGGTTAGCAGCATGCAGCGCATCGTACCCCATCGACATTTACTGGAAGGGTTTTTAGTCCCTGTGTTGAGCCACATCTGCAGCTTGTGCAATGCACAACCAAGGAGAAGAAAATGACCCCCCACCCCAGCCTTGCTGGATCTAGCTGAGACTAGGCACTGGCCAGGATGTCACATACAGTGGTTTCAACCTCCAGCTGCCGGCAAGACAGCATCTACTGTCCGTTTTCTGCAGGAACCATGGCTCCGCTGGGTTAAGTGCTTTCCTCTACCAAGCAGCTAGCCTGGCGTTGAAACCTAGTCTCCGATGCCATGTACCCCCCAACCCCATCAGAGTTTTGTAAAAAGCCCCTCCCTGCTCTCCACACCAAAGCTGAGAGCCCATGGCATAACTGGAGGCTTCCCTGCCATCTTGGCAAAGAAGCCTTGGGTGCCAGGCGCGGTGGTTCACACTTGTAATTCCAGCACTTTGGGAGGCCGAGGCGGGCAGATTACGAGGTCAGGAGATTGAGACCATCCTGGCTAACACGGTGAAACCCTGTCTCTACTAAAAATACAAAAAATTAGCCGCTGGGCATGGTGGGGGCACCTGTAGTCCCAGCTACTCAGGAGGCTGAGGCATAAGAATGGCGTGAACCTGGGAGGCAGAGCTTGCAGTGAGCCGAGATCGCGCCACTGCACTCCAGCCTGGGCGACGGCAGGACTCCATCTCAAAAAAAAAAAAAAAAAAAAAAAAAAAAAAGAAGCCTGGCTGATGTCCTGCACGTGCTTCCCCAAGTGACTGCTTGCACTTAACAGCAGAGGAAACGAGAGACCACCCCACACAACTGGTAGTGGTTGAGGAGTCTGCCTGATCCCACACTGGATACTTACAGCATCTAGAATTAAAAATAAGCCCTGTCACCAACACCCAGCCCCTCACCCCCCAGAGCCAGGCTCAATGTGCCCAACAGCGCTGGGGCCTGCCCCTGGAGGCACTGGCTTTTGAGACACGGCAGAGACCCCACTGCCCTTCAGGATGAACTCACTACCAGCCTCTTCTAGAATCCAGCTGAGGACCTGGGATGTTCATATTCAGCTGGATGGTGACCCCAGTTCAATATGCTCACCTGGGTGTTGCCACTCGCCTGTTGACCCTCCCTTCCAGGGACAGATCTGTGCACCCCATCCCCACCTTAGACCACCAGCTCATACACAGGTGGTGCTGGTGCAGTGGTTAATGTTAGGTGTCAACTTCATTGGATTTAGGGATGCTCAGACTGTTGGTTTTTTTTCTGGGTGTCTTAACGGTGTTGCCAGAGGAGACTGACGACTTGGTGGACTGAGAGAGGAAGACCCACCCTGAATGTGGGTGGGTACCATCCAATCGGCTGCCAGCACAGCTAGAACAGGTGGAAGAAGAGAGATGAGCAGCTTGCTGAGTCTTCTCCAGCCCTCTCCCTCTTCCTGTGCCAGATGTTTGCCTCCTCTTCTCTCCTGTTGGACATCAGACTCCAGGTTCTTTGGCCTTTGGACTCTGGGACTTGCACCAGCAGCTTCCTGGAGCCTTCTGCCACAGACTGAAGGCTGCACTGTGGGCTTTCCTGGTTTTGAGGCTTTTGGACTTGGACTGAGTCACGCTACCGGCTTCTCTCCACAGCTTGTAGACGGCCTATTCTGGAGCTTCACTGTGTAATCCTGTGAGCTTCTTCTCCCTAATTAACTCCCTTTCTATATATACATACAGCCCATTGGTTGTGTCCCTCTGGAAAACACTTATAGTCAGGGAGGGTATGGCCTGCAGTCTGAACCTGGAAGGTTCCTTCTGAAACCCATGCAAGCAAGTGAGCCCCAGTGGCCTCCCTGCCTGCCAGAGGCCCCAGCCGCTGAACGAATGGGTCTCATTGTCTCAGGAATTCAGCAAGCAGTGCAGAGATGACCCAGTGCAGGTCACCAGAGTCACTGGTGTTCATGTCTTTGGAACCCACCTGGGTTTTCTCCACTACAACCTTAAGGAATTAAGATTTAAAATATATATAGATAGATAGATAGATTACAAAAGCAAAATGTCATTAAAATGCAAATATTGGCCGGGCACAGTGGCTGACACCTGTAATCCCACTACTTAGGGTGGCTGAGCTGGGAGAATTGCTTGAAGCCAGGAGTTTGAGACCAGCCTGTAATCCCAAGGATAATCATGGCTCACTGCAGCCTCGCCCTGTTGGACTCAAGCCATCCTCCCACCTCAGCCTCCTGAGTAGCTGGGCCCATAGGTATACACCACACCTGGCTAATTATTTTTTGTAGAGATGTCTGACTATGTTGCCCGGGCTGGTCTCGAACCCCAGGCCTGAAGCAGTCCTCCCACTTCAACCTCCAAAATGCTGGGATTACAAGCATAAGCCACCATAGCTGGCTGGTTTTTTGTTTGCTTTTTAAAATATTAGCAGCAGATACGGAAACAAGCTCTGAACAGGTCAGCTCTACGGGAATAAATGGTCCCCGTTTGAGGACAATCCCACAGCTAAGTTTTCCTGAAGAGAAGTGTGAAGTGCATACAAGTGGATTTACAAAAAGGAAACGCTATTTGGTGAAATTTATCAGAGTTAGGGGCAGAGGATCTATGGGTGACATTTTCAAACGACTCCATTTAGATTCTCCATTTTTGGAGTCCTTTTTCTTCTACAATCTTCCCTAGCGATCCTTGTATTCTGAGCAGGGGTAGTCACTGCCTTACCACAGTCATCAAGGCTCCTGGCTCTGGGTCACTTGGTGAAAGTAAAACAAGGAATTTGAGTCACCACAGCCAAAGGTTCTGAGTGTTAAGACACTGAGGCCTGGGCAAGCCCATACCCTGCTCCCAGGCAGGCAGGGCGGGGGCTGTCCTTGCCTTGTGGGGAAGGGAGTGGGTGGGATTTCACAGCCCATCAGGACAGCCCAAGACCCAGCAGCCCAGGGCCTGAGGTCATGCAAAGTTCTTAGCAAAACTGATTTGTTTCCAGTTCTCTGGCTAGAAACGGAAGACCCAGACATTAACCTTGGCTAGGTGATGAAACCATGAACATGAACCATGAACGCTTTTAACTTATCCTGGATTTTTCTCTTTTTTTTTTTTTTTTTTTGAGATGGAGTCTAGTTCTGTGGCCCAGGCTGGAGTGCAGTGGCGCGATCTCGGCGCACTGCAAGCTCCACCTCCCGGGTTCACGCCATTCTCCTGGCTCAGCCTCCCGAGTAGCTGGGACTACAGGCGCCCACCACCGCGCCCGGCTAATTTTTTGTATTTTTAGTAGAGACGGGGTTTCACTGTGATCTCGATCTCCTGACCTCGTGATCCGCCCGCCTCGGCCTCCCAAAGTGCTGGGATTACAGGCGTGAGCCACCGCGCCCGGCTTTTCTCTTTTTTTTTTAAGCCATGGTTTGAGATGGCAAATTTAGAGCTACCTGAAGCAAGTAGCCTCTACATATTGGCCTACATCAGGCTTGTGTTGGGGTCTGGCCATCTAAGGAGAGGGACTCTAGACTGAGCTTGCTTCCCGGACAGATGCACTCTGACCAGGGGCTGGCCTGGCAGCTGGGAGCACCTTGCTGTGCTGGGGCTTGGATGTGGCTGGAGGGTGAGGCACAACTAGGCCCACCAGTCCTCGTTCCCAGGCATTACGTTAGCACTGCCTATCCCAGTTAATCGTCACAAGCACCTGGGATTGGGCATTGCGTGACCCCCAGTTAAAAGATGAGAAGACTGAGGCATAGGCTCTGCCCCAGACTGCTCCCTTGCTGCCCCTCCACCGCCAGGGAAACTACTCAAAGCTCTCCAGCATCAAGGCATCAAGTGATTGGAATGGACCTTGGTCAAGTGTCTCCTGCCTTGGACCCTTATAATATCCTCTGCAAGGAGCCCTCGTGCCCGCCCCCTGCCCTGCACCCAACACCCAGAGGCCTACACCACTATTCCATTTGCTCGGCACGGTTCTGCTTCCCTTGGGTCCTGCGGTCACAGCTGGAAGGGGTAGGGGAGTCCCCTCAGGACGTAAGTGGGGGAAGGACCAGCAGGGCGCAAGTGGCACGGCTAGGCTGGAAGCAGCCCTGCACGCAGACCAGAGCCCTCCCCAGCCCACATCTGTCATCTGGTGATAGGAAGTGAGCCCTGGCTTTGGCTCTTGGGGGTGGGGGGGATAAGATGCCCTGGCCTCTCACCTGCGCAGGGCGGGGCAAGTTTCCTCCCCACTTGTGCAGCCACAAAGAGGTGCAAGGGGAGGCAGAGAACACAGGTTCCTGGCCAGGTGTGGTTGCCCATGCCTGTAATCCCAGCACTTTGGGAGGCCAAGGCAGGCAGATCATGAGGTCAAGAGATAGAGACCATCCTGGCCAACATGGTGAAAATCCATCTCTGCTAAAAATACAAAAATTAGCCGAGCGTGGTAGCGCGCACCTGTAGTCTCAGCTACTCGGGAGGCTGAGGCAGAAGAATTGCTTTAACCCTGGGAGGCAGAGATTGCAGTGAGCTGAGATTGCGCCATTGCACCCCAGCCTCGGCAACAGAGCGAGACTCTGTCTCAAAAGAAAAAAAAAAAAAAACAAGTTTCTAAAAACTGATGGGCATAGCTGAAGGGCCATCAGCAGTCCACTGATTACAGAAAGTATGGTGTGGGGCTCGGTTCAGCCTTGCAGGAAGAAACATCCCAAACTGGTTGCTTCCCAGTACTAAAGCAATACCAAGCTTTTCATCTGTTCCTTCCACATACCCTACTTGTCACAGACAGAAAGTCTGTGTCCCCTTAAACTTGTATGTTGAGATCCTAACCCCCAAGGCACTGCTAACAGCAGATGGGGCTTTTGGGAAGTGATTTGATCATGAGTGTGGGCCCCCACCCCATGGGTGGGCTTAGTTTCCTTTAAAGAGACCCTAGGAGGGCATTTCCCCGCTTCCTCCACGAGGACAGCTAGATGGGGACACCTGTGAACCAGTATGTAGTATGTGGGCCCTCACCAAACATGGGATCTGTTTGTGACTCGTTCTCAGACTTCTAGCCTCCAAAATGGTCAGACATAAATTTCTGATGTTTATAAGCCACCTAGTCTATGGCATTTTGTTATCACAGCCCAAACAGACTGAGATGATTTTTTTTTATTTTTTATTTTTGAGATGGAGTTTCATTCTTGTTGCCTAGGCTGGAGTGCAATGGCGCGATCTCAGCACACCACAACCTCTGCCTCCCAGGTTCAAGCAATTCTTCTGCCTCAGCCTCCCAAGTAGCTGGGATTACATGCATGCACCACCACGCCCAGCTAATATTTTTTGAATTTTTAGTAGAAACGGAGTTTCTCCACGTTAGTCAGGCTGGTCTTGAATTCCCAACATCAGGTGATCCACTTACCTCGGCCTCCCAAAGTGCTGGGATTACAGGCATGAGCCACAGCACCTGGCCAAAATGCTTATTTTATTTATTTATTTATTGAGACAGAGTCTTGCTCTGTCGCCAGTCTGGAGTGCAGTGGTGTGATCTCGGCTCATTGCAACCTCCACCTCCCGGATTTAAGCGATTCTCCTGCCTTGGCCTCCCAAGTAGCTGGGACTACAGGCACCCGCCACCACACCCAGCTAGTTTTTATCTTTTTAGTAGAGATGGGGTTTCACCATGTTGGCCAGGATGGTCTTGATCTCTTGACCCCGGGATCCGCCCACCTCGGCCTCCCAATGTGCTGGGATTACGGGTTTGAGCCAGCGCACCCAGCCAAGATGCTACTTTTTAAAGTAAACTCTACCACCTCCAGTTGACCTCAAGCACCCTTGCCTAAGTGCCAGGACAAGCCACAGGACTTACAGAAAACCCCCAACAGCTGCGTATGAAAGCGCCAAGACCCCCTTATCCAGCCTGAGTTACACATTAGAATTTTCTTTTATTCTTATTCACCTCTTCGAAGCAGAGCTTCGTTTCAGCAGGAAGGATACCAGAGGCAGGAGGAGGGTCACTTGGGAAGGGAGGTGGAATCTCCCTCCTCTAGCCCCCCTGCTACCTCTAACGGGCTTCAAAGTCAGAATACAGCCATCGGCTGAGAGCAGTTCATTTTGGCACACTGGGCGGCCGGCTCTGTGCACTGGACCTCTCTGGTGGGGGATCAGGCCCTCTGCTCTCCAGTGGGGCCTGGAACAGCTCCAGTGATATGCCCCAGGGCCCTCAGCTGCTTGAAGAAAACACTCACCTGGCTGGAGGGAAAAAGGGCCTTGCCCTGAGGTATCAGGTGGGTAGCAAGTCACACTGAGCTCCTGCTCCAGGGCTCGAGAACACAAGAAAACTAAACGCACAGAAGACAGCAGGAAAACGCCATCCTTTAACAGCCAAAAAGCTGTCATTCAGGGACACCAGGTGACTCCAGCGCCCGGGGGACAGAACAAACACACCATACCTACCACCAGGCACCAGAGGCCTCAAAACGCCTGGAGCTGGGGCCGGAGAAGGCGGTAAGTCGCCTTCTCTCAGCAGAAATGTGAAGTTGGCCTTTAGCTTCTGCCCAGGATGGCAGAAACCACATTCTGTCGGTGGATTGGTTGCTGGTGATGGACACAGCCAAGGTCCTGGGGTTGGCCCCAAGGGCTGAAAAGGTGCTTGCAGAAATGGCTGGCACTCCAAGCTGCCTGAGCCAGCCCAGCCGTACTCAGGTGACAGTGACCTAAGCTCTCTGGGCTCAGGGTTTACGGCCACCATAGCCCAAGCACATCCCGATGCCCTGGGTTTAAGTAATGTACCCTCTTTTGTTCTGGCTAAAAGCTAGAGAAAAACCACTATTCAAATCCCCGGAAGGGAGGTGGGTGCAGCTTCCCAGCATTAGAAAACACGCCAGCCACCCGTTCCCACCCACCTAGAGCAGCCCCTCAGGCTCCTGTAGGCCACTGTACAGCGCATAGCCAATGTCGTCAATCTCCTCCTCACGCAAGCTGCTGAAGAGGTTCACGCTGGGGTTGAAGTGGCAGGGCAGGCTGGCCTGCTCCAGGCTGCCGATGAGCAGTTCCAGGGCTTGCAGGAAGCGCTCACCCAAGGCCTCCTCCGTCCAGTCCACATTGTCCTCCCCCAGACGCAGGACCACCTGGGTCAGGTGACCCCGGCCCAGCTGCCCCAGAGCCGAGCAGCCACGGCAGACAGCACACAGCAGCAGCAGCAGCCGTCGGCGGGTCCCAGCGTCATGGTCGTCCAGGGCTCGCAGCCTTGCAGCCTCCACTGGATACAGGTCCTGCAGCCAGAGGTTCCCCGCCAGCCCCTCCAGGGGCCAGGCCAAGAGGAGGCGGTCGTCAGCATCGGCCCCAGGGACTGCCACAAGCACAGCCACGGTGAGCTCCAGGCGCTCGTGCTGCACCTCGAGCAGCAGCTCCTCTGAGGCCATGCTGGGCCAGATCAGGCACCCAAGAAGGCTGCCAATGGCCGGCCAGTTGACAGAGGCAGCCAGCGCCTTGCGGAGTAGCTCCAGCAGGATGCGGGAAGAGAGGTAGCCCCCGACCAGGAAGCGGTCCCAGGGGCTGCTCCCGCGGGGGCAGAACTCAAGCTGAGTCCTGCGCACGGCCCAGCAGCGAGGGTCCCTTGCCACAGTGTCCACGCCCGGCACCAGGCTCCATAGGCCTGGCTCCAGCACCAGTGGCACCAGGAGACGCACATGGTCCGCGGCCCCTGCCTGCAGCCCATCATACAGCGGCCCCCCAGGCACAAATGCCCCAAAGGGCAGTTCCGGGAACTTGCTCCGAAAGTAGGCCTGCAGCTCCAGGGCAATGTCGCCAGCCAGCTGTTTGGCCAAAGCCACCTGGGCTGCTGGGATGGTCACATGGTCCCGCTCGAAGGCCAGCAGCCTCTCCTGCAGTGTCAGACACAGCGGTGCTGGGGAGCTGAGCTGTGGTGTCACCTCAGGACCAGTTTCTGCAGGCCCCTCTGCAGAGTGAAGGGGCGGGGAACATGTCGGAACAGCCTGTGATTAGTTAAGAAAACACCACCGACAGCTAGCTGTGTGACGTCCCAGGGCCTCACTTTCCTCACCTGCAATGGCACCTGAGAAGGCACTCAGTTCAGGTCCTCACATATAGTGAGCGCTTGGTGACGAGTTCTCATTGTCCCAGAGTCCAACACCCTGGCCCTATGGCTAAAACAGCTTCATGCAGAGTACGTAGGTAAGTCACGCCCCTGTGGGCCTCAGTTTCCCCATCTAAAGCTCCCCACCATCACAACGCTGCCACTTTGCTCCAGGAGCAGGGCAAAGAAACCCCACCCCCATTAAATGTCTGAGGAGCCCACAACCCAGAGAGAAGCAGGGACTCGCACAGGGCCGCACAGTCAGTCAGGGCAAAGCCTGGGCTGCGTCTCTCGAATGTGACACCAACAGAGGGGAAGGAGTGCCACTCACCTGGGGCAGAGGGCGAGGGGGCCAAGGGCAACACTGGCTGGCTGAGGGCAGCAGGTGGAGGCCGGGGCTGCAGGTGTGGTGTGGCCTTGAGCAGGCTCAGTTCCTTCCAGCTGTCTCCCTTGGTGTCATCCTCGTCCCGTGGGCTAGTGGCCCTGTCAATGAACTACAGGCAGAGTCACAGAGATCAGTGTATATGAAGTCTGGGCAGCCATAGCAAAGCCCAGGGGCAAAGGAGACCAGGGTGCAGGGTGGAGAAGCAGGTGCCCTGGGCTCCCATGAAGGCCTTGGGCAGTCCCCACCCCTCCCCAGGGCCCCTCTGAAAAGCCCAACCCTGTTGTCCTCCTGTAGGAGCCTCAGGCATGACCCACCCACCTGGCCTTACCCGCTTCACGGCCAGGGTGGCAATGCCCAGCACAGCAGCCCCGCCCACGCCCAGCACCAGGCGGGCATTGGCCAGGAGGAAGTCCACCATGCTGCCCAGCCCCTCGTCGCCACGCCGCTTCCCCCGTTTCTGGGAGAACTCTGCCATGGTCTGCCTGTAAGAGAGCCAGGGGTGAAGGGGCAGCTCAGGTGCAGGTGGCCAGGCTGGGAGAGGGGCTGCTGTGGGCAGGTGCTCTGGCTGTCCTTATGCTGGGTAAGAGAGCTCAGCCCATGAGGGGGGCTTTCTGAGAATTTCTCAAGAGAAAGGGGCCACCCATCCACAGGGGAGGACACCGAGGTCCTGGGAAACCATGTAAAGTACCTAAGAAAGGGCAGGGATGGGATATGAACTTGGGTTTTGGGGCCCCAAGCCCCCATCTCTCACGAGGAGATGAGGGAGCTGCCAAGCCCCTTCCCCCAAAGCTGCAAACAACCCACTCCCTGGAAAGAAGCTCGCAAAGGCCCTGAGGCTTGTGCAGGTAGAGGAAGGGGCCGCTCTCCCTGGAGCCCACCCTCCAGGACCTCTGACATCACCAGGGTGTCATCATCTCCATCCCTATGTTACAGAGCCACAGGCTGCCAGCTCACAAGTGAGTGGTGAGGTCTCCAACCCACGACTGCAAGGCCTCCAGACTCTCATCACTCAGAGTCTGACGGATTCTCCCTGTGCCAGGTGGCCAGGTCCTCAGCAGCAGCCTCATCTGAAGGTCCCTAACCAGAGGGCACGGCAGCCCTCTATGATAACCTCTTCAGAAGAGCCCGAAGTCCAGAGAAGACGAACAATTTGGGGCCCCAGCCAGTCTGGGGGACCACTGGAACCAGTTACCCTCCAAATCTTGACAGGGTAGCCCCAAGAGGCAGAGCTACCGAGTCAGAGCACAGGCAGAGTGACACGGCCCGAGCTGCCCGGGCAGGCCAATGCAGATGTGCTTCTCAGGGTTGAAGCCCCTTTGGCAGGGCAGAAAGGGCTGCCCAGTGCCTCTGTACAGAGGGCTCTCTGGGCCTCTCAGTCTTGGGACAATGTGTAGGTAGTGGTGGGTGATGCTTCTCAGCTGCCGGGAGGCCAAGCAACAAAAAAGGAAGGTGAGGGCCTGGGCCCAGCCCGTTTGCTCACCTGTAAGATGGCATACGCAGCAGTGAGGGCAGATGTGGGCAGGCTTGAAATGTGTGGCTGGGTGGGGCCCAGCAATTGGGAAGTGGAGGCAAAGACCTAGGGCCCAGTCCACGTTCCTCACGTTCTGCGAGGGGGACACTGCCCTCAGGCCCTGGGAGATGAGCTGGGCTGTGACCTTCGGACATCAGTTAGACACTAGGCAGAACTCTCCCAGGGAGGCCTGAGCAGATGACCATGAGGTCACAGCCTGCCCAGGCACCAAGGACTTCTACCTGCCCTGCCACAGTGTCGGTGCCAGGGGCCCAGTTGCCAGGTGACCAGATGCCTGGAGTAGCTGAAGCCCGAAGCGCTGTGTGACTCAGCCCCGTACACCCGCCTATTCGCCCCAGACTAAAAATAAGACGGTCTCTGGGGAGATCCCAGGCCAACCGGGTGACCCGCCACGGCCCCAAGGCCGGTTTCAGTCTCCTCATCCGTGACTCGGGAATCAATACTGCCACCCACCCCCAGAGAGACCAGGAATCTACTTTGCAAACTGTAAAGCGCTTTAAATACTCCCAACCTGTCTAAATTGGGACTCAGCCCCACCACTGGCGGGGTCGCTCAGGCCTCAGCCCACAGCCTTCCAGCTCTGGGAAGCGGGAGAGGGCACGGGTGGCTGAAAATAACCCGAGTTTGCCCAACGAGGCCCTGGAGGCCGTCTGGCCTTCCCTCCTCTGCCAAACGCGCCTGCCGTGGGCCCGGGCGGAGCAGCCCGCAGCAGCAGCCCTAGGTGGGCGGGTGACGCCCCGTTCGCAGGGAAACTAAGAGACCGAGAGGGGAAGGGGGCTGGGCTGGGATTCGAACGCGGCCCTTGGTCCCCCAAAGGTCCCCCCTCCGCCTTCCCCAGCCGTGACCGCGGGCCACGCCTCCGATCAGCGTTCAGTCGCGCGCCAAGCCCTGAGCCCGGTGACCCTGGGGGCCGCTCCGCCGCGCTCCAGCTGTACCTGCGTGGCAGCTTCCGCACAACAACCGGAGGAGGCCGCGGGACCACGGTCCCTGAGCTCGAACCAGCCTGAAACTGGAACGTGAAGGACCCTGGAACCCGACGTCGAGGGCCCCCGGGGGCGGCCGCGGACTTCGCAGCACGCAGACAAGCAGGCCCTAAGTCCAATCGGAGCGCTCGAGTTCGGAGCACAGGTGCCAAAATACTGCGCGGTTCAGCCAATGAAGGGCAGGCCCCGCCCCCCAGCCGACAGACGCGCTCCCTTCGGGGCGGGACTCCCTGACGCAGTCCGAATTTAAAGGTGCAGGGCTGCATTCCGAGCCTGCGACCAGGTGATGTGACAGGCAGCCCTCCGGGAAGTCTGTGCGTTGTAATGTGAGCCTCCGGTGTGGAAAAAGCTGTCTGGGCCCCCGTTCCTTCCGGGAGCCAGGTAGAGAGGCTGCACATGGCTAGAGGCCCGGCACATCCAACCTGTTAGATCACCTGTGCGAGAGAGTGTCTTGGTGGCCTCGTTCTCACCTGTGGGCCTGCGAGGCACAGTGTGGCGAAAGTGCCTACCCCTGCCACCTGCTCCGTGCGAGCTTATGTGGGCCATTCTCCACCTGGGCCTGTTTTTCTCCTGTAAAATGGGGACACTAGACCCCCTCCTCCCCTACGAAGCATGGCTGGGCATGTAACAGCTGTGGCTCATTTATCGGGGTCCTGCTATGTGTCAGCCAGGGCGAGCCCCCTGTGAACAGCAGGGACCAAGACAGATGCTTCTCTTCTGGACCCTCCCTTTGTAGGGGGGCACGAGCACAGGGGTGCTGACACTAAGTGGGAATAATAAACCTGGCACACAAAACAAAACGGAATAATAACCTGCCACTCACTGAGCGCCTGCTGTATGCTGCAGGCTACACGTGCATTCTTTGTTCATTTACTTATGGTGACAATCTTAGGAAGTATTTTACAAATGAGGAAACTGGGTAGGGCGCGGTGGCTCACGCCTGTCATCCCAGCACTCTGAGAAGCTGAGACCGGAGGATCACTTGAGGCCAGGACATCAAGACCAGCCTGGGCAACATAGCAAGACCTTCGTGTCTACAAAAAAACAAAAATAAATTTAGCCAGGTGTGGTGGTCTGCGCCTATAGTCCCAGCTAATCGGGAGGCTGAGCCCAGGAGTTCGAGGCTGCAGTGAGCTATGATCACACCACTGCACTCCAGCCTGGGCGGCAGAGCAAGAAGGCCCTGTCTCAACAAAATAAAAACAACACATGAGGAAACTAAATCCAGAAGCTGGAGAGCTAGGACCCGAGGAGCCAGGTGTCTCACTACCACCGGTCAGCCAAGTACAGGCACTTCCTGGGCCCCTGCGACCCGGGGCCGGGGTTTAGAATCTCTCCGAGGTCAGGGCCAGCTTCATGTGCTGCAGCAGCGCAGGGGAGGGTGCCTGGCCCAGCGGCCGTTACGGCCCCTGTCCCGAGACGCTGGGACTTAAGCCTGGAGATGGTGGAAGCCTCCAGCTCCTGTACAGGAGACGCCCAGCACTCCTTGATGCCACCGCAGTCTTCGAACAGACGGAGAAACTGAGGCCCTAAGAGGCCTAAAGCCTACCCTTCCCGGTGGAAAGCGACGGGCGCGGGCGGGTTAAAGGGGCGGGGCCGGCGCTGGACCTCCCGTG